CACCCACATCCATTTCATATTTTTTGAAGCTCTGTTTAAAAGCTAAAGTTCTCAATATTCATAGTATATATTGCTATCTTTGTTGGCTCTTATTACGAAAAATATTCACTTCAACTAACATTATCTGTCTCGGACGAAATTTAGAAAGATCGTGCAACTCGGTGTATTTTTACGAGCGAGAAAATAATAAAAGCATATGAAACTAATCATTTACACACTCAGACAACAGTTTTTCCCCCTTTATCTTTTTATGTTGCTGGGTATGGCCAGCTAACTCTGCTACCGGAGTGAAATTCCGTAACGTTTTTCGCTTATTTTGTTTCCTCGATAAATATCAGGCAGTAGCACGTAAAGAGTTGCGAGACGTCTTAAATTAAAAAGAAAAGTCTTGTACATATTCTAAGATATTTTTCGCTTTTGGAACGTTTGTCGTTTCCAAGATATAATTAAAAAACTGATAACTACTTTTCAATTCTGAAAATTATTACTTTTTCAAAAGTGGTGTTCAATTCTTTTGTTATATCTTGGAAACGACAAATGTTCCAAAAGCGAAAAATATCTTAAAATATGTACAAGACTTTTCTCTTTAATTTAAGACGTCTCGCAACTCTTCACGTGCTACTGCCTGATATTTATCGAGAAAACAAAATAAGCGAAAAATGTTACGGAATTTCACTCCGGTAGCAGAGTTAGCTGGCCATACCCTGCTATACTTTGCATCAAATTTATTACTGAGTAAAGATATGACATGAGAGTTTTATTAGTGTAATCTGTGCACTAAAATGAAATCAAACTTTCATGTCATATCTCTACTCAGTAATAAATTTAATACAAAGTTTGACATTATCAATAGATAAAGAGGGGAAAGATTTTTGTTTGGGGTGTACGTCTTACAAGGGAACATATGTATGATTTTTTCATATATTTAATTCCTAAGAAAAAGTCAAAGAACCGATTTTAAAATGAAATGATCAATCTAAAATCTGAGGTTGGTGTACGTGTGCTGTTTATTTATCTATTCGAAACTTGATGGATTAGAAGATGAGTGATCACTGTATAAAATTATTAACAAATTTTGATAGAAGGTTACATTTGAGACACGATATCTCGACAAGGATTTAAACACGCATCTTTGCGCATCCACTGAAGATAGATGATGACGTGCTCTACCAAATAAGAAATTAAAACTCGAATTAAAGTTTCGGGAAAATAACTGCATTATTGACCAGTGGTTATTTTTGTACTACACTGAGCGTAAGTTTTTGATCTTATTATAGCCTAAAGAACTTCAAAAAGTCCAAATGGTCTGTAATATATACTAAATACATAACACTGTATAACTAAATAATAACTAATGATTATAATTAGATCCTCAATTTAGAACATACAAGTTACTTACATGATTCTATTAATGATATATCACTAATTTGATGTACTTTGTGGTACCTGCTGCTTAACAGATACTCACTATAAAGCAGCGTTCAGAATGCACTTAAATGCAGCACCATAGTAGCTTCAATGCTAGTTATGATATAGGCTCAAATCTCGAAAATTCATTTTGTTGCCTGGGCTGTTCACTGTGCTCCCCACAGATCGTGATAGACGTTTTTGATACACGATTAGTGATCATAGATCACTAGCATCTCATAAGAATATATGAATTCCTTCCTTCTTGCAATTCTAGCGGATTAAGTAAACGATGATGAAAAATGGGTCCCAAGATAGATTGAATAAAACAATATTCTCGTGATTAGTAACAGCAGCTACATCGTTTTTCACATTTTAACCCTGCATGGATTGCACTAACAGCTTTTTTGGACTGTTTCACAAATGTACTCTTCAACTTTCAAATATTTGAATATATTATGTCAAAAAAAACATAAATAAGCACAAATAGAACCAGTAGTGAATTTAAGTAGAATAACGAGTATTTTGAAAAAAAAATACCACTGAATTGTCATCAATGTGAGCATTGGATTAATGGAAAAAATATTCAGTTGATTTTTCGGGAACACTTGATTAGATCACAACAAGATACAATGTATTAAAATGACATCACTTGAATCATTGTACATGTATGTATATCAAGATTTTGCAGCGTTAGGCAATTGGTATCATTTCAAAAATCTACGGGCAATTGCCCAATGGCCGTACCTTTGGCTACGCCACTGTTCGTCAATTAACTCCACCTTACTCCGGCCAGCAAAACATGTTTTTCCAATGCTATCGCTCTAAAAATTAAATATACCTTTGTTGTTATCTTTATGTTCTTGTCCGAAAGAGAAAAGCAATAGTTTTAATAAGATCAAAATAAAGAATAACAAAAGCAACGAGTGAGACAAGGTATCCAACATATTGACATTAAAGCGACTTTTATCTAAATCAAAGGCAAATGAGAGTTGGAAAGACTCATGGTAGAAAATAATGATGTCGTTAACTTTTTCTCTCCCATTAAATCGTTGTTGACAACGGTAGTTTGAATTGAAACTAGATGGAGTTCGTCGTTGAGTATCAACAAAAAACAAATCTATCAACGTTTGACGCAGCAAAAAAATCTAGAAGAAAAAAAACCCACATTGAATATATAAAAAGCACGAGTAATATCTGGCAAAACAACAGTCTTTATTGTACGATACTCAAATATTGCTTCAACGTCCCGAAACTTAATCTAAAATGGGTTGCAGCAACTCCAAACAAAGCCTTACACCATCAAATGCAGGTGCTGAGGCAAGTACAGCAGCTATGTCACGAAGACGACGCATGGCAGAGAATTATATAGTTCTTTGGGTCGATACAAATATCAATCAATCGAACAAAGACTGTCGAAATACACTTGCGCAATTGCGCAGTATTGTTAACGACGTTGAAATATGCAAAACGGCAGAGGCATGTATTCAAAGCCTCGAAGAAAGCAATCGGGCGACAGCATTCGTAATCTCCTCCGGTGCATTAGGACAACACCTGGTTCAACGTATTCATGGCATCACACATTTGAACTCCATTTATATCTTTTGTGACAACAATCAACGGCATGAAGCATGGGCCAAGAACTGAATAAAAATAAACGGAGTTCATACAACAATTAAGCCAATCTGCGAAGCACTAGCAATGGCTGTCAAACAATGCAACCAAAACAATATGCCAGTGAGCATTATCAGTTCGAATGAAGGAGGTTCAAGCGAAAATCTCAATCAGCTTGAACCAACCTTCATGTATACACAAATATTCAAGGAGATCCTCCTTGATATGAAACATGATCAACAGACCATCAAAGATTTGGCAGCATATTGTCGATCAATATACCTGAACAATCAAACAGAAACAAAAATTATTAATGAATTCGAACATACCTATAAATCATCAAACGCCATTTGGTGGTACACGCGTGAGTGTTTCACGTACAAGATGCTCAATGGAGCATTAAGAACACTCAACGGCGATAT